AATAATAGTTTATTACAAAATTTAACCAAAGGTCTACCCAAAAAATAAGGATGAACGTTACAGACTGTGCAGCTGACAAAAGTGAAAAATGTAAACAAACGCACTATAGGCCTAGTTCTCTCTATGTACACAGGTTGAATCCATATAGCCAAAAAAACTGTATGAAATACTTGTTTACATTGTAAATAAAATAATTATCATACTTGCTTATTTTATTCATTTTTATACATGAAAAGCAAGTAGGCCTAGAGGTCATTTTATAATTTATTTACCGGTAGATATTATTGCGCCGTGTGATTAGGTCACGTATTGACCTCTGACCTCTGACAAACTTCATACAGAATTGAAGATATTTTCTCTCTGTATGTTTATATAATGGAGAGATACCACAAATGTATATATTAGTACTTACAGTTACATGCAGTTATCCCACATTAATACTTACAATTACTCAAATTAATAAAGCTTACTTTCTATACATTATAATCAAATAAAATTATACATGGCTTTATTATTCTAAAACAGATGCCGTTTGGTTATTTTTTTTATATTATCAAACTGAAAGTAATACAAATCTTTTCTGCCTTAATACTGCTATATATTCATTTCCTCATTTCTTAAGCTACAACAAGCTTCATGTATAATTTAAGAAATGACAATTTTCTTTTATTAAGTGTTTTCAGAGAAAAACACTCTATATTAAATATACAAAAACCCTTACTTCTTCCTCTCATCTCTACAGTTTGTATGAGATCAAACACCCAAACCATATAGTATATAATTTTGCATTGTAAAAGCTTTTTTTTTTTCTCCTGATTCATATATTACTTGCCCCCTAATACATCAACCTTACATAGGCCTATCTGTTAAATATATAGAGTAGACTAGATATTTATATACTTATTTCAGTATTACCACAATAAATATGTGTGCAAGGTCATCTTCCATGTAAATTATTAATAATGATACACAGGATTACAGAACTATAACATATGTATTAAAATGCTAAATATCTAAGAGCAATACTTGCATGTACCACCTTGTAGCTACAGAACTGTCACACTTAGTTTTAAAAAAATATATATATGTTGACTAAACGGAGAGCTACAGCGCCATCCATTGCAAAAAGTGTATATTTATTGAGCACAAAAAAGTTTGTGTTAATTTGTTTCCCGTGTTTTTCAAACTGTATCTCAATATTAATTACTAACCATGTGTTCCTAATATTTTCTTTTACTACATGTATTTCCACACCAAAATATTCCTTACAGCCGTTCTTAATTAAGTCCTCCCAGCCCTGAAATTGAAACCATTGAAAATTTCACTACATACATGTACTGCAATTTTAATTTGCAAGATAATTCAGTGCAATGCACTACATGCAGATGTCAACTAAAAGAGTACACTCAAAAGATGAGTAAGGTTAAAGGATTTTTCTTAAAGATCTATATTTATTTGAAATTCATTGAGGTAAAACTAGAAATATGTCCATGAGTGGTATAATGCAAGATGAAAATTTGCATTAGTGTTATAATGAAGTTTGATAAGAAAATCTTGAATAGCTCTTTAAAATTGAAAGTGAAATCTAAACAAGAGGCCCATGGGCCACATCTCTCACCTGAGCACTAAGGGTAGGAAAAAGTAGAAAATGGCTTTTTATTGTAAAGTTTAAATCCAAAAGTAGTCCCATAACCAATCATGGATTTGCTATTTTTTAGAAAATGATTTTTAAAGAATTTTCCTATATATATCTTTAAAAACTTTGGTCGGCCATTTTGGCCCCGCCCTAACCCTTGGGGTCATGATTTGAAAAAAATTGAATCTACACTACTTGAGCATGCTTCCATATAAATTAATGAATTATGGCTTTGTCATTCTTGAGAAGAAGATTTTTAAATAATTTTCCTATATATTTCTATGTTAAACTTTGGTCGGCCATTTATGCCCCGCCCTACCCCGGGGGTCATGATTTGAATAAACTTGTAGCGACACTACCTGAGCATGCTTCCATATAAATATGATGAATTATTGCTTTGTCATTCTTGAGAAGAAGATTTTTAAAGAATTTTCCTATATATTTCTATGTAAAACTTTGGTTGGCCATTTTGGCCCCGCCCTACCCCCGGGGGTCATGATTTGAACAAACTTGAATCTACACTACCTGAGGATGTTTCCCCATAAGTTTCATCTTTCCTGGCACAGTGGTTCTTGAGAAGAAGATTTTTTAAATATGCCACCAAATTTTCATTAATTCCCAATTATCTCCCCTTGAATGAGGGCGTGGCCCTTCATTTGAACAAAACTGCATCCCCTTCACCCAAGGATACTTTGTGGCAAGTTTGGTTGAAATTGGCCCAGCGGTTCTTGAGAAGAAGTCGAAAATGTGAAAAGTTTACAGACAGACGGACAGACAGACGGACGCCGGACAAAATGTGATCAGAAAAGCTCACTTGACCTTTCAGCTCAGGTGAGCTAAAAACATAATATAGATGATCATTTCTTACCAAATTAGGTAAATTTGAAAGTTCATTAACTTACCGGTACTATGAATCACTTAATTTACATGACACCTTATTTTGGCAAGAAAGACATTTACTCTTCATTTGCGAGACAAAATTTCACGGATTGTGGTTCTGCTGATCTATATACTGTAAATCACGTTTTATTCGCAAGAACTTAATTTAAGCGTAATTACGCAAGACAATGAGCTCGCGAAAATTTCATTCTGACATTTAAAAGTATTCCTTACGTTTATATAGAGGAAAAACAACAATTTGTGAAAATTAAGTCTTGCCAATACAGAGTCAATGACTATCTCGCGAAAAGAAGGTGTCGTGAAAATTTAGTGATCTACAGTATTCTTTAAGAAAACAAATATAAGCGATACTGATATTTTAGTGAGCACTCTTTCTCACATAAATACACAAAAATAAAGTTCTCACGAATAAAAAGTGATTTTCAGTACCTAAAAATATCTTATGAAATGGTTTCCCTAAAACTAAGCAAAATGCAAGTTAAAGACAAGTGAGGTCAAAGTCACAGGAAAGTGCAAGGTCAAAAGTTTTTTATATAGTTGAATAGCTCTCACTTATACGTATCAGAATATTAAGTTTGATCAAAAAATATCTTCAATGGTATCTTTCACACAGAGTTAAACACTAATTCTAATGCAATTGTTTTGTAAAACACGTATTGATTGGCTAATGCACTGATGTTTGAAGCAGTAAAACGAGCATTAATGAGCGTGAAAGCTTTTTCATTGTGACGTCATAATAGAGCGACGCAAAAACACAATGCTCCGTGACGTATTTCATGTAACAAAATTCAACAAAATAAGACATAAGCAACAAACAAAATGCATGGATTGCATTAGAATGGGAATAACTAATCTTCTAATTTGGTATTTGCGACTGTTAATGCTGATTTAACGGTCGCAAACATCCATTTTACCAGCTCCGCTTACGCATCGCCGGTAAAACTCAGTTTGCGACCTTTAAATCAGCATTAATGGTCGCAAATACCAAATTAGAAGATAGTTATTCCCTAATTTAAGTGAAGTCAAGGTCAAAAGAAAGGTCAATGTCAAAAAATGTTGTTCTTATCAATATTTATCAGGATAGGAAGTTTGATAAAAAATATCTTGTCAGAATAGACCCTTTTCCTATGACATATTTTGCCTAGGAGTTATTCCCCTTTGCCGCAATCTTGTAGGGCAACATTCCCAGCTCCCTTCATTATTCCAATCGGCAATCCTCGGCTGACTCTGCTACGCGCCACTCAAAGCTAGGATGTGATAGGTGGAGTAATACGCATCAAGCCTCGTCACTCATTTCATAATTCGCTCTGCTTAAAGTTTTTTGAAAAGGTTTCTTTATTTGTGTAATTCCTCATGTTAATTACAACCAAATGTTAGTAGTCTTTGAAAGCATGAACACCATGTTGGGCGTGCAAACAAAGTGACTCGGATTAGTAAAACATTTGAATGAAATTCAAATAGGATCACATGACTGACTCAGCAAGATGCCGGTAGAACACCTTTGATGTCCAAGGTTAGTGTGCGAGGTACGAGCCACCCAAGGAGCTCCGAGTGTCATTATTCAACCAAGTTCAACTTGTTATACTGGTTACTTAGGTAAAGATTAAACGCTATTTTTTTTATGAATATATGTTTGTTAAAGCCTCTACTAACTTTTAATTTTAAGATACTGTAAAAGCACAAATATTCGTGGGGGATTATATTTCGTTTATTTCGTTTTTAACAATATTCAAAGAAATTAAATCCCACACAAATTTTTATATGACTATATACTGATTCAGAATAGGTTTACTTTTAAAACAACAAAATTAAATGCCCACAAAACTATTTTTGATGACAAAATAACGAAATTTTATGCCCATGAAAATTTGTGCTTCTACAGTAGTATATCTTTTACATTTCTTGCATGCATGCTTGTTTAAAATTGGTTGCTCAAAGAGGTCAATTCACAATTTGCCCTACAAGATGGCGGCTAAAGAGAATAACTCCTTGGCAAAATATGTCATAGACAAAGGGTCTATAGACTTTTTGAAACTGAGCTTTGAACTGATCAAGCTAAACAATAAAGGGGATGTAAGGAACAGAAAACGGACATGAAACTCTAAAATGCCCTGGCCATTTTTATGGCGGGGCATAAAAATAATAATGAAAATGGATGTATATGACTCATTGAAGCTTACGTACAAGCTTACATTTTATATTAATAGACCCTTTCACGATAACTGTGATACTTCTCTTTTGCAGGGCAAAATGATAAATTGATAATATATTTTGGTGAAATATGACATAAAAGTAATTGTCTTACATACGTCATTTACAAAAACTTGGCCAAACATTATTAATTTGCCCTGCAAAAGAGAAGTACCACAGTTATCGTGAAGGGGCTAATTTGAATCTGATCGAAATATAAGTACTCTAACAAAGTATTAATACATGTATTCTTTTTCTAGAATCATGCACCTACTTAGAATTAATGAAACCTTTTTCTGTTTCCTTTTTCTGCAGGAATGGACCTTTCTTCTGGAAAATATAACCTGTCGACAAAACATTACGATTTTCATTCATTCCAATGTGTAAACATGGTAAAAAATAAACTTACTTTGGCCTAATATCATTTTTAAAATACGTTACCTAAAAATACCCAAACAGTAAGAACAAAAAAATGTGTATCAACAAAGTAAAGAAAAATATATTTGAATAACCTTTGAAACAATGGATTGTAAAAACAAAACTCCTTTTACCTCCTTTAATGAAAATTATCCTCTTCTGTTTTCTTGCGCTTTTTATATGTATATTCAAAAAGGCCGTTTTGGGGAAACCCTTACCAAGATATCTATTTTTAGGATGCCTACTTTCGCTTTCTATCTTCGCATATATTTTGCAATTTATCGCACAATTTCTCTGACGTCTTACATATCATGTTTTCATTACTAATTTTTCAAAGTTGCAGTCATAGTTCGACATTTTTAAGAGGAGGAAATAAAACATGAGCAATTTCTTCCGTATATTTTTTTTTGGGATGTCACTAAATACCAGAATCGTACTAAAATGTTCTGATTTACGCCTGTTCGAAAGAAGAGGATTCGCATTTTTAAAAATATTTTTTATTTATTTATATTTTTGATTTAGTTTGCATTAAATTTATTATAATTTTATATATATATATTTTTTATTTAGTTTGCATGTGTATCTGTGTGTGTGTGGGGGGGTGGGGGGATTTATTTATTTCTACATAGCCCAGTGGCGGATCCAGGATTCTTGAAAAGGAGGGGGCGACCAGTTTGGGGTCGGGGTAGGGACCCACAGCCACAACAACAACAAAGAAGACATCAAAATCTTCTGTATATTTGGACACGAATCCTCCAGTGTAGCCTCATATTCTATAATTTTGTATAAATGTATGAACAATTAATGATTCTAATATGCTGTGCTTTTGTCCAATAATTGTAATTTTGTTTACGCCAATAAATATTTGTATATATATAAATGAAACTTTAAATTAATTCACTAGCAATAATAAGGCATTTAAAAAACACAAAAGATTTACTTTTCTATTATCTTGAGAATAAAGTGACAAATTTGTTGTTTTGTACAAATAACTTTCATGTACTTGGCTGAAAAAATCTCTATGGCAGAAATACAAAAAAAAATATGGAAAAAATGTTATAATTTGGCACTCTTCCAAACAAAGTCCGATAAGGTCCAATAGTAAAATTCGACATTATCTGAGGATGTTTCCACTAATATGACCAACCATGAATGTACTTGAAAAGTTTTTTTTTTTTTTTTTTTAGCTTTTTCCTATATATTCCTATGTTAAACTTTGATCTTCCATTGTGGCCCCACCCTATCCCTTTGGGTCATGATCTGAACACATATTTTCTACACAGTGGATCTTGAGAAGATTTTAAAAGATGCCATAAATTTTTCACGCATTTGCAGTTATCTCCCCTTGGAAGAAGAGGTGGCCCTTCCTTTGTACCCAAGGATACTTTGTGGCAAGTTTGGTTGAAATTGGCCCTGTGGTTCTTGAGAAGAAGATGAAAATGTGAAAAGTTTACGACAATGACAATGACGACAAAGGCAGACAACAGACAAATTTTGATTAGAAAAGGTCACTTGAGCCTTTGGCACAGGTGAGCTAACAATGTCTCTTAGAAACACATGTAAAAAGACTGACCAGTCTTATGGTAATTTAAAGTGTAATGGGAAAGGAGAAAAATGCAACGGACCAGACCAGGATTTGAACTATGGCCCCATAGCTGAGTCTCCAATCAGGTGTTCTAGCAAACAATCTGGCCAATGGCGACTGAAATCATCAGACACCTAGACACTTAAAGGTCCTCAGCCTTCGAGGGCACAAAGGCTCTTCCCTGGCAGGTCTTTCACCTGTCACAGTCTGGGCATTGCCATGGCACCAAATGTACCGGTAATGGGAGAGGAAAAATGGTTCAGACCCGACCTGGATTCAAAGCCAGGCACTCTGAATCTCTAAATAGATGCTCTACCAAGCTACACAGGCCCAATATTCACAGCTGAAACCATTACAAGAGGCATTCAGATATGTAATTATGTTCCCCAAACGAAGTTGGGGAACATATTGTTTTTACTCTGTTTCTTATTATTATTATTATTTTTCTTCTTCTTCTTCCTGGGTACTTTTTTGTCCGGGAATGATCTCGCAAACTATACATCCGACTAAGGTGAAATGTTTTTAGGGTCAGTAGACATGTTATGTAGATTTGCGGAACGAAGGTCATTTTGCGCGCACGTGCTTGCAAGAGCGTGCACGTGCAACATGTGAAATGACGGATTTAATTGATATAGACGTAACTTTTTAAATTTTTGATTAAATGCTTTGAAACTTATAATATAAGGATATATTAGTAGCATAGACAATATGACATTGTCAAATAACCAAAATCTCACGGGCATGCACGTGCGCTTTGCTCTGATTGGCTGAAACTAAAGTCTCGATATCTTTCTTGTTTTTTTACGAAATCCTTTGAAATTTTGAAAATAGCCATGCATTAGAATATCCTACAACATGATATATAGCAATTATCATGAAAACACGTGCATGCACGTGCGCTGCAATCTGATTGGCTTAAATTTTAAATAGCTATAACTCCTTTGATTTTCAACCAAACAGGATGGGATTTGGAACATAGATAGATATACTGGTCTACTACAAGAAAATACGGTGAACATGCACATGCATACACGTGCATGTACGTGCGCTGCAATCTGATTGGCTGAAACTTTAAACAGCTATAACTCCCTTGGTTTTCAACCAAACGGGGTGGGATTTAGAACATAGATAGTTGTAACGAATATCTACAAGAAGGTATGGTCACCGTGCTCATGTATGCACATGCGTGCACGTGAAATGGGTAAAATAAAAAATACACTTGAATGAGCGGGTTTTTTTTTTATACTTTTGGATCAAATACTTTAATACATGTATTTAGTATATCAAAATATATAGCTTGTGTAGACAAGATAATATGGTCATTACGCACATGCATTCCCATGCGCACGCGTGCAATGCTAAAATTAGAATGAACTTGGCGTTGTTAAAGTCAAAAATGCATAGATTTTGTCCTATTTAATGAAGCTTACAGGGAATATGGCACCAAAAGGGAGTTGGGGAGCGTTTGGGGAACATCTGTAACGGTTCCCGTTACAATTAGCACTAGTTTGACTTGCGTTTTTGACAGACAGCAGGTTCAATGTCCAGTGGCCAGATAGCTCAGTTGGTAGTGCACCTGTCTTGTGATTCAGGGATATAGATTTGAATTGTGGTCTGGCCATAGTGTTTTTCTCCTCAACAGCTTCACCTTCATAATGCATGTATTTGACATGGTGGATGTCTGAAATGTGTGTCAGTCATTTCTGAGGAACTCTGACATTCTAGAAAAGCACAGTAAGAATTCATAAGGCATAAATCACATGTATCTTAATTTATTCAGGCAATACTGCAAAAATAGTCTTTTAAACAGTTATGTCAAAGTTCAGGTCATTTAACATGAATAATGGATCATCAAGTTAAATAATTCTCCATCAAATGTATGTCCAGCAAAAATCCACAACAGGAAGCTCCTGTCTTCCCGTTTCCAGCAGACTGTCAATTGTACCATTGATATCACATGAAAATATTTAATATTTTCACAACTGCTTTACCTAAGATTTTTTTTAAATCAAAGCACTAATAAAAAGATTTCATCCCAACCATTTCACTGGTAATATCTGTATGATCCATATTTTTGACAGTTTTGAATTCTTTTTGGGGGAGTTAATGCACAAGCTAAGAAACTGATTTCCACCTAACTTTTTATAATTTAGTGATATCCTTAAACTGTCACACCCTCTTAAATTGCCTATTCCTAAAATCAAGACTCCTCTCCATCAATCTTTTGTTGAATACAGGCACTCAAACAATGTTTGTCCCACAACTGCTCTCATTTAATCATCCGATGGATTAAAGAGTTCACATAACCCACTGGACTCATCCTTCTTCTCTAGGACCCCTGTGGACTTGGGAGGTTTGATTCTAAATATTGGAGGTAAGTCTTTGTATTGGGACTCCCGTTTAAACTCTTCACCAACACTTTTCTGTAAAATGAAATAAAAATCCATTTCTTCATTAAAATTACTGAAAAAATTTTCAAATAACAAGTAGGGACAGAGATAAAAATATCAACTTTATGTATATTTTATAAAATGTTAAAGTCTGTGTGACTTTCATGCATTTTTAATATTCTCATGTTTTAGTAAAGTTTATTTTTATACTTTAAATTGTCCCTATACAAATCTATACAAATAAAAGTCTACCATTTTTAATGTTTTGCTGAGTGGGCACAAAAAAAAAAATTAATGTTTGACCACAGAGTGAGATGTCGATAAAATGTTGGACCGCTTATGTCATAAAATGGGCAGAGCTTAATCTCATTTTCATTCGTTGGTGTTCAACAGTGACGGACCTGAGTTACATCAGGGAAGACAGTACAAATTACAAAAATGTCAAAAAAAATTAAAATAAAATGAAAGGTATAACAAACATTTATTGACTGAGTTTGACGGCAAAATGCGTTTTGTTGACCCTTGAACCAAACTGTCTGCCTTCGGCGTAATGAGCTCAGGCAGACAGTTTGTTTCTTGGGTCCAACAAAATGCACATTTCCCCAGGACTCAGTCAATAAATGTATACAAGAGGCCCATGGGCCTTATAGGTCATCTGAGCATTATGCAACAACTTTCCAGTGATTGAATTTGATTCATGTTTTAAGCCAGATGTGGCATTCACAATTTTAAAAGAGGCACCATTGATCATCATAACAATACACTTAGCAGTTGCTTAGTTTGTTTACTTAATACCCATAGGCAGGGTAGGGAAACAAAAAATGCATTTCAACTAATCAGTAATATTCAGCAATAATCAGTAGTGCCCCCACCACACTTAAACCCCTGACCCTTAGGCCTAGATCCACACATTGCACAATTTTTGAAAAGGCATCCTTGCTTTACAAAAATATTTGATTAATACCAAGGAGCAGATTTCAAACAATTCATTCATTTTCAGTATATAAGTACAGCCCCCCCCTCTGTGGTACCCCTGACCCTGGGCCCTGAAATTCACAATTCTGGAAGATTAGGGCCATTGCTCATTATAACTATACAGGTAGTTCATCTGCTTAATACCCAGGAGCAGAGAAGAAAATTTTCAAAGATTTAATGTATTTTCACTATATAATCAATAGAGCCCTGTCCTAAAACCAGAACCCCGACTCTGGGGCCATAAAATTCACAATTTTGGAAGAGGCATTCTTGCTCATCATGACTATATGTACTTAGTTAGTTTATTTAATACCTAAGAGCAGAGAAGAAATTTTTCAAAGAATTCATGTATTTTCACTACATAATCAAAAGAGCCCTGCCCTAACACCAGAACCCCTGACCCTGGGGCCATAAAATTCATAATTTTGGTAGAGGCACTCTTGCTCATAACTATGCACTTAGTTAGTTTATTTAATACCTAGGAGCAGAGAAGAAGATTTTCAAAGAATTCATGTATTTTCACTATATAATCTACAGAGCCCCACCCTAACACCAGAACCCCTGACCCTGGGGCCATAAAATTCACAATTTTGGTAGAGGCACTCTTGCTCATCATAACTATGCACTTAGTTAGTTTATCTAATACCCAGGAGTAGAGAAGAAGATTTTCAAAGAATTCATGTGTTTTCACTATATAATCAATACAGCCCCGCCCTAACACTAGAACCCCTGACCCTGGGGCCATAAAATTCACAATTTTGGTAGAGGCACTCTTGCTCATCATAACTATGTACTTAGTTAGTTTATTTAATACCCAGGAGCAGAGAAGAAGATTTTCAAAGAAATAATGCATTTTCACTATATACTTATTTAGCCCCGCTCTAACACTAGAACCCCTGACCCCAGGGCCATGAATTTCACAATTTTGGTAGAGGACTCAATGCTGATTACAATCTTGCAAACAGTTTGACTGCTTGATGTCCAGGAGTAAAGAAGAAGATTTTTAAAGATTGCATTAATTTTAGTGGTTTTGGCCCCACCCCTCAGGCCCCAGGGGGGCAGGGATCATGAAATTCATAATTTTTGTTCCCCTTCACCCATACATGCTTTGTGCCAAATTTGGTTGAAATTGATTCAGTGGTTGCAGAGAAGAAGCTGAAAATGTTCAAATGTTAATGCACGACGGATGACGCACGACAACGGACGAAAACGGATAGCAATAGGTCACCTGAGTTTACTAAGGTGACCTAAAAAGAATCCTCTATTGCTACCTACCCCTATCACACCAGAGAGTAACTTCTTAAATGTGTCTCGTTTCTTTTTGTCATTCATTACTGGAATTTGCTTCTGTGCTGCCATCTGGAGGATTTTACCATCAAGATCCTGAAAATAATTGATCAGCATACGGTATAACAAAATCAAAAAGAAATCAAAACATTGTTTCTAAAAGCCATATTTCATACACTTTGTCAACAGAGTATAAAGGGCATTCTTACCTTCAGAGCTGAAGGATTACAACTTGGAACTTGCAGTAAAACATTGCCTAAATCTGGAAAGGATGGTCTCTAAAATAAAAATAAGGCTTACATGATAATGATGATAGAATTCATTACACATCCTTCAGAAATAAAATTCTGTAAGATAAAACAAGAGATCCTTGGACCAGCTGTTTTTGACTGCGCAACCATACACTTAGTTGGAAAGTACTAGTGTTAAATGAAATTTCCAATACCTGAAAGTATGATTTCAATTTTTGAAAAAAATACAAAAAAGAAAGATACGAGCAAATTCAATAAATTGTGGTCCCCCGCTTTCGGTGTCTTTGTGGTTGAGATGTCATTTTTTATGACATGTTGTGTGTAATATGAACATCCTATCATATGTCATTTATTTAGAAATCATCACTGAACTCCAAGGTCAAGGTCAAAGGGTTAAAGTTCTTGGTATCCAATGAAAAGTCTTCTCACAAGGATTACATATGTGAAGTATAAAAGCCCTAGCCCTTACCATTCAAAAGTTATGGTCAAGGTTAAAGTTTTTTCATAAGTACGAGAATCTCCAAGGTCAAGGTCAAAAGGTCAAGGTTGTTGCTATCAAATGAAAGGCCTTGCCAAAAAGAATACATATGTGAAATATGAAAGTCCTAGTATCTACTGTTCAAAAGTTGTGGCCAAGGTCAAAGTTTTTTAAAAGTAGGTCAAACTCCAAGGTCAAGGTCAAAAGGTCAAAGTTCTTGGTATCCAATGAAAGGTCTTCTCATAAGAATTACTTATATGAAGTAAGAAAGCCCTAGCTCTTACCATTCAAAAGTTTTAGTCAAGGTTAAAGTTTTTTCATAAGTACAGAAATCTCCAAGGTCAAGGTCAAACAGTCAAAGGTGTTGGTATCCAATGAAAGATCTTGTCACAAAGAATATATATGTGAAATATGAAAGTCCTAGTATCTACTATTCAAAAGTTATGGCCAAAGTGAAAGTTTGGAATTTTTGTATAAAAGTGGGTCAAACACCAAGGTCAAGGTCAAACTTGGTGGTACCAAAAGAAAGGTCTTATCACAAGGAATACACGCGTGAAATATGAAAGTCATAGCTCTACTAAATCAAAAGTTATGGGCAAGGTTAAAGTTTTTGTGACGGACAGATGAACAGACTGACGGACAGCTAGACGGACAGACAAATGAGATTTAATGTCCCCTCGCTTTCGCGAAAGCAGGGGACAACAAAGGCAATAAAATGTAAAATACAAACTCAAAGTTGAAAGAAATAATACACAAAGTAATGTAGATTTTTGTATTTTATGCATTTACTTAATACAGGTAAACTTCGGTATCTCGACATCGGATATGTCGACAACCTGGGATATGCCGGCATTATTTGCTATATAAATGATTTGTAAAAACTCTGATATGCCGACCTCAGTAATGTCGACTACCCTGCTTATCTCGATGTTTTTCACAGTCCCAAGAGCAAAATTTACCTAGTATATGTCGACATTGGGGCAATTTTTTGCTCTACTTAACCTAATTGTTTGTAGCTGGTCGCTCGTCATGCACGGACTACTCCATGTATCTCGACGTGGTCAGAGATTTACACCTTTCACACCCATGTTTTGACTACATACTGCTCTGTAGAAATGTGTTTGTAGAGGAATCCCAAGCCCCTAGGCATCTCTAATACGTTAATTGTTTAATGTTTAGCTTGGGTAATATGATTGATAAATCTTTTCGATTCTGAGTAAATGTAAAACCGTTTATTTATGTCGAAATCTATAGCTAACAAAACTTAAACATTTTATTTAAAAAATGTAACTGAATAACAATGAACAATATACACATTGAATTCAATTTAACTTAAAAATTGTGGTAAAAATGCATTCAACAGGAATCAATCAAATCTACGACATGCACGACTACTGCATCAGTCATGGATGCATATGGAACATCACTAAGTTTGTTAAATGCGCAATTCCAATTAAATTTTGGTTTGAAAATTAAATGAAAATTAATGATGAATGATTATGAAATAAAAAAGAAGTGAAATGAAATAATTTTAAAAAATATACGCATTAATTTTTTTCCGTATCTCGGAAGTCGACTTTGTACTGTTCCGGTTTGGAGTTTATAGAGCGTATTTCGTATCCTGTTCTAACAGAGCTAGTGGCACGTGGATCAAATGCTGGATGGAAAACGGTTTTTAGTAAAATGAGATATAAAAGGATATAAAAGAAAGCATTTCATAAATAACATTTGTGAAAAACATCTTAGATTTTCTAATAAATATAGAGGGATAGCTGAAACAAATGAGCTACAGTCTAATATGAAGACATGTAGGTACCCGTAGTTATACGTCTGTTCAGTTTACATGTAGGTCTATGGTTTTACTATGCAGTAAAATTAAGGACGTTGAGTCTCAACTCTGAAATCTCGACACCTCGGATATCTCGACATTTTCCGACTGTCCCGTCGACGTCGAGATAACGAAGTTTACCTGTATTGTAATATGACTTGTAAATGCCATATTGCAAGAACATGACTTGACAATTGGACAGTTGATCTACTTTTAACAAGTATTAATTTTCAGCAATATAGATATATTATCCAAAAATTTTCTCTCTCTCATAAAATGCAGCAATAATAAATAATAATAAATTCCTCACATATATTTCCGAATGTAAAGTGCTTCACCGAAAGCAAAATATTACTACTTACCAAGAGTTCATACATCTGCATGACCAGTCCTAGTAAGAGAGCCTGAGAACCCTCGTGTTGGCCGTGCATCTGTAGTCCATAGATAACACTACACAGAAAATTAGTGGCAATGTCCAGCGTCATATTGCCGTTACTGAACAACTGTAAACAAAAGTAATAGAAGGTGTATACAAAACATACTCATTTTTCCCCATTAGCAGCATAAGCATTTAAATGACAATGGCCCTTAACTCCATAATGATAGATAGTTATTTTTTGCACATAATAATTTTTCTGGTCCTCTGGGATTTTAATAAATCACTTACTTGTCTGGTTGTGGACCAACAGAGAGGGACTGATTTATTGCAGGCTATGGTGTCCCTCCAAGACAGTGCCCCAAACACACACATCATCACAGAGGGGTATATACTCTGTACAACCATAAATAAAATGTATGAAAACTGTATGAAACTAAAAATACATTAACACAGACTGTAAAACATATCACAGATAACCAAAAAGGAGGAAACATTTATATCCCTTTTATACATTCTCTGCACATTACCCCCAAAAAATTTCCATGGTATTGTTGTGGGAAAATGAGATTTAATTTTGATACAGATTATTTTTATTGATGTTGAATATGAAAGTAGAAGTAGAAATTCTTTATTATTTTTTTGTTTATATTATAGCAAGGTGTCTATAAAACTGGGAAGGTCCATGGCCTCTCTAGGAGATATAACACTTATTGGGTATCACAACTATTGATGAAAGGTAAATACAATTTTTTGCAATTCACGAGATGGCAATACTGTTAACATTTATATTTTAGAATTAAACCTTGAGATGGATGCATTTAAAAGGAAAAGAATCTATGCAACTTTTAAAGGGCTTATGCAACTTGATAGACAGTAGAATGTGGTCTATGGTACTTTTTAATTAAGAATCAAAAATTAGAAAATAAAGTTGATTATATATCAAATATATATACAATTGTTAGCCTGACCTCAGTCTTCATACACATTTGTCCAAGGTCTGTCATCGGTTCTTCTTTATGTGATGTGGGAATGTTTTCAGCATCATCCATCTTAGCATCATCAGACAAAGGTTCTTGTTTTAACTTGTGAAATATTATTCCTGGAACAGACCAAAATATTACAAAGTTCATTACTAAATAAAAAACTGAACATTATATGCATGCATAGAAATTAAATACCCTAAAACTTGAACTTGTTCTGCATTTCATCCTTTTTATACCTTTGTACTTTTTGTACTTTGTACTTTATTGTCCTTGTTATGATCAATGTAGATTACAATATTATGATATATTCAATGCTCAATGTTACATGTAGGAAAACCCTATTATTGACATTATCAACCCTACAAGTATTAAAACTGCCAGGATATATGTAACTTTTTAAAAAGGTGCTTTAATATTAGGAAGGAAAACCTTCAACAAACCTGCTATGCTTTGATATTTTATTTTATGTATGTTAATTGTTGTTTTTATGACTATATGCCAATGTATGATGGTGTTGTCAATAAATGAATTGAATACCTGGCAAGTCAATGTACTCACTAGGTAGTTTATAAGTTACTCCTGCACTCATCTAACAAGCCCATGTACTTCCTAGTATGTTTGTAATTGATGCCTTTGCTCCTGCAGTCATTTAAAAGTCAATGTACTTGTCTAACAAGTCAAAGTACTCCTGTACTCACCTAACAAGTCAATGTATCCCTTGTGAGCTTGTACTAAACTACTCCTAACTTATCCAACAAGTCAATGTATCCCTTGCAAGCTTGTAACTACTCCTTACTTATCCAACAAGTCAATGCATTTCCTAATGAGTTTACTATAATTTCTCCTATCAATAACTCATAAGTCAATATACATACTAATTTTTCCCATACAATATAATACTCACCTGTCATTAAATCTCTTTCAATTGGTTGAATAAATTATTTCTGTACATGTACTTTATCTAACAATCCAATGTTTTCCCTATTGAGTTTGTAAGTTTTATAATACTGTTATTATCTAATAAGTTGATATACATGTATTCCATACCGAGTTTGTAAATTTAATAATGCTGTTATTACCTAATAAGTCAATGTATTCCCTACTGAGTTTGTAAGTTTAATAATGCTGTTCTTACCTAATAAGTCAATGTATTCCCTAGTCACCTGCCGAGTCAGCTGGTCTTCCAAAATTTCCTGGGACTCCATATTGTCCTCACAACCATCTTCACTAAAATTAAAAAGACAATTACTTCATATCTATGTGACAAAAAAATAATAAAAGATATAAACATTTATCATTTTTTTCCCAGAATACTTTAAATCAAAATTTCTTTGTGAAAAAAAATTATGGCTAAATGAAAGTATTTCCAAGTCATATTCATTTGTCAAAATCCAAAGACATATGCATAACACTATATTTCCATACCTTATTCTTTGGTTAATTTGCTGCCATTGTGAATTCAATTTCTGTAAGAAAAGTACAAAAATATAATCTTTACATTCTTATAGAAATCACACCTAGGAGGTGTACAGCACATTTTTTAGAAACAAAATAAAAAACCGAGTACCAAATCTGATTTCACTTACTTGATAAAAATAAGGACAAACAAATTCTAACAATGGTATCACAGCTACATTATACAGGTCCTTAGGACAGTTGATAATGTAGGGCTTCAATATGACTCTTACAGGGAAGTTAAGGGCAAACAATGATAAAATAGTGAGTCAGTCCTTTTACTTCTCTTTTAAACAATTCACAACCACAGCAATTCAGATTTAAAAACTTCATTTTTTTAAGAATTTGGATTTACAATGTACATTGAAAACTGTCTAAATCCAACACTGTGCAATATGTTTCCCTTCATTAATGAATCAATATGTACAAACATATAGAAATATGAATCATATCTTATACATTTGATGCATATCAAAATATGCATATACATGTATAGTGAGAGGTATTTACATGTTAAACCTTTATTTCAATCTTAAATGTATATATCTTGTCACAAAACTTGATGGGATGCAAGGATTTTAGTACTGAAATCCTCTGTGAACAAAGGATATTGATGAATGGTTTGGTTCTGTAGTCTGGCAGATAGTCCAGGTTTGTGAACACAGTTGATAGAAGAGACTGGGGAAGATACGGAATGGCATAGAATTCATATCCCAGGCACTGGCCAGCATTACCCAGGATGTGGCAGCTACAACACACAATACACAGCCTCAATACAACATTGTACATACTACTAATGACAAAAGAATGTTCCTACTGTAAAAATTTACATCTGAAGGAAGGATCAGAAAGCTGATAACAAAAGAATAAAAAAAAAACTTGGAAAGAATTGGATTGGAAAAATATTGCACTAGGGCCTGAACAGAAGAAATCGTGTCAATGACCCATGTCACTACGCAAATTATCCCACATTTCCATCTACCATTGATGCCAAGGCATACCCAACAAACAAGACAGTGATTCCTTAAATCAATACACCTGAAATTATGAGATAACTAGAACTGTCCAAACGGGACAAAATACCCCCGCTGGGTTTTTCAGAAGTAAGTTTTTCCATAATAAAGATATGTATCAAACACGAATTATGAAATTTTACTTCCAGTGACCTTCAACTTCCCCAAATGACCTTGGGTCAAGGTCATGACACACCCTTGGGTCATGGGCAATCTTTGAGTGAAATGAGAACCTACCAAGTTTATCCATAAGAAAGATATGGACCGGACACGAATTATGAAATTTTTATTCCAGTGACCTTGAACTTCCCCAAATGACCTTGGGTCAACATGACAAACCCTTGGGTCATGGACAATCTTTGTATGAAATGAGAACCTACAAAGTTTATCCAGAAGAAAGATATGGACCGGACACGAATTATGAAATTTTACTACAAGTGACCTTGAACTTCTCCAAATGACCTTGGGTCAAGGTCATGACACACCCTTGGGTCATGGGCAATCTTTGTGTAAAATGAGAACCTACCAAAATTATCCATAAGAAAGATACGGACCGGACACGAATTACGATATTTTTCTTCCAGTGACCTTGAACTTCCCCAAATGACCTTGGATCAAGGTCAGGACACACCCTTGGGTCATGGACAATCTTTGTGTGAAATGAGAACCTACCAAGTTTATCCATAAGAAAGATATGGACCTGACACAAATTATGAAATTTTTCTTCCAGTGACCTTGAACTTCCCCAAATGACCTTGGGTCAAGGTCATGACACACCCTTGGGTCATGGGCAATCTTTGTGTGAAATGAGAACCTACCAAGTTTATCCATAAAAGATATGTATCAAATATGAATTATGAAATTTTTCTTCGAGTGACCTTGAACTTCCCAAAATGACCTTGGGTCAAGGTCATGACACACCCTTGGGTCATGGGCAATCTTTGTGTGAAATGAAAACCTACCAAGTTTATCCATAAAAAAGATATGGACCGGACACGAATTACGAATTTTTTCTTCCAGTGACCTTGAACTTCCCCAAATGACCTTGGGTCAAGGTCATGACACACCCTTAGGTCATGAGCAATCTAAGTGTGGAGTAGTAGATTCTAATGTCCCTCTGTAAGAAAGATATGGACTGGACACGATTGCACAGACAGCTAGAAAGACAGACAGATGGACAGACGGACAGACGGACGGACGGACAGACAGACAGACGGACAGTCGGATAAGGTGATTCCTATATACCCCCCCAAACTTCGTTTGCGGGGGGTATAATTAACACACCTGTAATCATGCATTGTTGTAAGGAAGTTCTGCATTCTTGTGACAGGGTTCTTACACACTGGAGAACTGGTATTGTCCACACTTGGCATAGGGATTCCTGTCCAATATAAATGTTTACTTCAATTTTCAAAGAGTTTATTGAGTGATCTGATTTATTAAACTTTAATATACAAACAACAGATGTTTACAAAGAAGTGAAAAATAGAAGTTTACCTGTATGTATCTTAGTAGTCTACTTGTGTACCAAGTCATATTGAAATCAGACAAAAAAAAACATTTTGAAAAATTGTTTACAGACAGAGGACAAACACGTTTTGTAAGCCCAGCAGAACTAGAAATCTGCTATTTTACAAGGAAATGCATCTAACTTGTAATATCAAGTAAAGCCAGAGTCTACACTTAGTGAAGGAGTCTTATGCCGTTTAACTGAAGATGGATCTACCTTTAAAGAGTAAGCTTAAGATATTTAGTAACAAATACACAACTGCACTCTCCAAATGGTGAGATTCAGACATTTTACATAATTAAGTACCTAAAATTGCATATTTTTCATTCTCCACCAGATCGAAGGACTTTTCAAACTCTGGATGTCGTCTCTGTAACATTTCTGGATGCCAGCTGCCATTCATACTCCTGTTAACAATAAAGTTAATTTAAAAGTATGAAAAGAATTACAATGTTCTACTTTTTTTCCTAACAAAATACTTCAGCCTCATCCAAAAATAATGATATTAAGTCAATGAATTAAATGGATTAGATATGGACTGTAGAGACCAAAGTCAACATATGCAAGCTATGACATACTTCATAAATAACAGGAGGTTCTCTAGCATTCTAGAGACATGGACAGTTGCTGGATTCTTTAATATCGGAGAACCATCCTCTTTTTTCAAAAGTACAAATCCCCCATTTTCTGCAACCTTTACAATAATATAAAAAATACATGGTTGGAAGCCAAATGCAAAATCAAAAGTTCAATATGCTTAACCATTTTACCATGATAAATTTACAATAAGCTTTACAATTATGAGGACATGTAGAGTATTTGTCAACTGTAATTACAACTTGAACATGTACTCAACCTAAAATAGAAAATCAGACCTGGATCTCCTCTGGCCATTTGCTCCTTTTTAACACTGCCATCAGCATGGTTATACAGTAAGTTATCTATAATGCACAGAAACATACATTAATTTCATAAATATGTGTTGTAGCTGAAATTTCCATTTAAATCTGATATCAATATAAAGTCAATATACATGTATTAACAAAACAAAACATGCAGAGGCAAAGTCATCATTCCAAAATATGACTCAAAATCATTGTTATGATTGTGTAATTTGCTCTTACATGTGATCTGTTGATTCCACACGTGTCCTCAGAGCTTGGTTCTACAGGGGCTTGATCTAAACCAATGTACGACATCCACTTGTCTGCCCCACTAAAGGCCCTGAAATACACATTGTATGATACAGAAACCATGATCTGCAGCTTGTTAATAAATGTTTGATTTCCATAGATTTGATATACATACTTAGTGTATATATAATATACATTATGTAACTTACATCAAAATAAAAGTAAAAATGAAACATATTGATGGTAGGTAACAGCTCTCACATGGAGACCTGAGGGAAAGAGAAGAGGAGGACGGCCAAAGAACACCTGCCGACGCTCTGACGAAAGAGAAAGGGGAGAACTGAGCTGGAGCAGCTAGAAGAAAGGCCAGGTTGTAGCCAGCGACCGTTGTAAGTGGTGTTCTTAATCAACATAAAAGTATAAATTCACATTTTTACAGTAAGTAAGAGTTTTATGAAACTTAACTTACGACTTAAACTGTTCTGACAGCCACAGTTCCTTAGCTGGTTGTAGGATTTCTTCAAGAAATGTGGACTGCTTCTCATAGTTATTAAATCTATTGCTGAAAATAATACAAAAATATCATAAGTAAAGTAAATGTAGACAAACAACTAGAAAAAAATTAAACATTATAGGTATCACACAAATAAGAGTATTATAAAAATCTACTTTTAAAATTTGAAAATCTTTAAATTAGGCTGTTCTAACCACCTCTTTCACACAAAAATCATGGATATAAATTGCTCACCACACAAGAATAAGGGCCTCTGTGAGTATACATTTCTCCATCTGAGACAGCTGTTCTGTATCTCTCGAGATGTTCTGTATGTATCGGTACAGTTCATCAAACACAGGCTGTATCAAAACATAAAATCTGAATTGATCAACATTGCTTTTGTCTGGACGTAGTAGGTTTTGAATACATACACATTCTTCAAAGTCATTTTTATTTACTGAATTGATTTTTTTGTATTTGAATACAAACTCATTCTTGGAAATATTTTTTTTTTCTGATTTTATTTTGTTATTTTGTATCTATTAATACTTACAAAAATGAGATCAGTTTGAGTTTTACAGATGGTCACCAGCATAGAACAGGCATGTTGCCTGACGTTCTTCACAGAGCGACTTCTGTTACTCTTAGTTTGTCCAGGGAAAGCAAACGTTACTCCGGAAAATATCTGTCAAGGAAAAACAAAACATTCAGCTCAAGTTAACTTTAGTCTCACTCCTTCCTACAAGAAAATCGATCTTAAAAGAGAGAAAAAAAAAATCAGAATTCTTAAAAGAAACATTGACAGAGAGAATATAGAGAGAGGAGTGCGAAAACGATATTTTTTACCTTCTCCAGCATGGCCGGGATAGTTTCTGTGGAGTATTTCAGGAAAATCACCAAAGCTGATAAACAGGACAGCAAACTGGACAAAATCAGGGGATCCTGTCAAAACCCATAAAATTCTGCTTTGTAAAATATGGGCAGTTTTTCACATAAATTATACAAGATACCTGATTTCGTAATTTTCCAGTGTTTTAATTAACAGTATCGTATTCGTTCATATTTTTATTTCCATTTTTCACACTTAATCAACATAATGCGATATCAACAAGTTCTTGGTGCCACACCTGTGACTGATAGGCTAAAGCACTTTTAAGTAGAGCCACTCCAACCTCAGGATCAGGGGTAAAGTCAGTCAGCCCTATACGGGACATCACACTCTCTATAAACAGTGTCATGGCATCCCATTCCAGGAAAGAAGGGGAAGACAAGTTACACAGTTCACCAGCATCAGCTCCTAAAAACAAATTGATTAGCTGTGATTTAACAAAATGAAAAGAAAGTTTAATAAAAACAAATCTACATGAAAAACTGAGCTAAAAAATACTTATCAAGTATTCCAAGTCAATTATTTGATTCACGTTTCTTTTTTAAAATTCTTTACTTATTCAAAATCCTAAAGTAACCAGTTTCTAAAGGTATACACAGATAGTTTACCTGTTTATATACGTATGCACAGGAATTTTACCTGTTTTCATAGGTTATCACATGGTAGTTAACCTGTTTCTAAAGGTATACGAAAGGTAGTTACCTGTTTCCATAGATATACACATTGTACTTTACCTGTTTCTATAGGTTTACACATGGTGGTTTCTAGCCACTGTTTGGCAAAATTGAATGCCAGCTCTGGTTGTAACAGGACTGCCTGGCGAACAGTGTCTGCAACCTCTGATCGGTATCCTAAATGTCAAACAGAATTGTTATACACTGTTATACATTGTTATAGCTACACTACTCCAAAACATATAAGTTACATGTATATTAAAATAAAATCCACTTTTTAAAACTCTACTTTCGGTATAAAACACACAGGTAAACATGAATATTTCCAGAATAAAGATTTATGTTGATTTGAAGATGACTATAACATGCGATGGATATTATGTAACCTATTCCCTTAGAAAGTTGACAAATAAAGAATTCAAAGACAAAATAATTATTCATGAAATTAAAAATGTTCATTTTAAATTTATCCAATAAATGAAGAGTTTATATATAAAATATTGTTAAATTCAATGTTTATCAGCATGCGTATACTTCTTAGGAGAATAAAAACAATAATAAAAGTATATTCTGTCATACGTGAGAAAAAAGCTGAAAAATCTTCATCACTGTCAAAATCCTGACGAGAGTAATCACAGCTTGGCGAGTTATTCTTTAACGGAAAACCCACCTATAAATAGTATATTAGAATTTAAGACACATCAATTTTATACAGATGTATGTCCATAAAAAACTCTATAAATTAAATGTTATTTTAATGTGTCATGACATACATGTACAATGTATGCATATACATGTAAATTTACATATAGATGCATATTCTTTTTTCATTTTTAACACATAAATTTCAATTTACCTTCAGTAGCATCTTGGATGATGTTTCAAATAACTTGGGTATAAATGAGAGCAGAACAGCATCTTTACTGATGAATTCATGCTTCATAAAGGCTAACCATACCGACTGGGTATAGCTACTTAGTATCTGGAAGGAAAAAAAAACAAAACTGATATTCCTGTTCATTTGTTGTTATTCTTTCTTTCCTTTTTTTAATTACAAGATGAGAATCTTGCTAACTTCAACAGTTTGCTATACATTCAGACTAAAAAGAATTTTTTTGTGTACTCTGTTGATTGGTTTGATAAATCAACGATATGGTCAAATTTCACCCTGGAAAAAAAGTTCTGTGTATGTTACTTTTGGTATTTTCTTAATGACTCTTTTTCCTCTCATGGTTACCTGACTTGGGTGTTGAGTAAAAGCCATTAAGGCTTCTAGGTACATGGCAAAATTAGGGGGCTGTTCACAGTCTGGCACAACACCCTGCAAGGACAACAGAAACATTTAATAAAAGGTAGTTACTTAGGGCCTCATCATACAGTAACAGTGTTCATCTCAGTATAAAAGGAATTTGATTTAAAAAAATGTTTCCCTAAGGCCTAACATGTTTTGGAATTATTTCTTGTTGTATATAATCTATACTTATAAAATTATATCCTTGAAAATGTAATTTTTGCAAGAAGACCATATATTAAGAAAAATAAAGTTCTCAAGAATGAATGATGTACAATATAGAGCATTTTCTTTCAATCCCAAGATTCAACCTACCCACAATGCACAGACTTGTTTTCCGAGATCAATAAGAACTAAACAGAGCTTCTTCAGGAACAGATAGTAATACTCGTCATGAGCGGAACTCTTCTCTGCTGCCCTACAATTCAACATGTAAAAACTTCCACTCCTAATATCGGCATGTGTGTGCCTGAATAAATTAAACAATGGAGTCAGTCAAAAAAATTTTTTTCTAAGGTTTAAACTTGCAACTTACGCAGCAGTGCTGAGAATTATTTTCATTGCTTCATCACTGAACAGTACTAGTAATGGCTTCCTTTCCTCAACCTTTCCCTGTAAATAGAGACAAAAATCTAAAATTTAAAAGCTTTTGAAATAAAATTACTGTATGGGGGGAAAATAAATCGCGGTGTTAATATTCACTATATTCACGGTGTTAATAAATCCGTGAATTCAAGAAATAGTGAATGAATTTTCAATAATCTCCATGTTTTATTTGGAAATTTGAGAATAGACTATGATAGTTTGACTACGACAGGTTGATATACATGTACATGCAGTACATGGTCGTTTCAGTAATTACGAGTAGTATTCGTCATTCAATTATTTTAATTATCACGCTTTACTTTCATTCAAATCAGCAGATAATAACTCGTGTTTGTTCAAAAGCTGTTTTAATAGCCAACGCTACATGTTTCATCAATAAACATAGGTAATCAGAGATTACAGAGCTCACCTCAACGAATGTTGTCTTTAAGTAAGGCAAAGTCACACATTTAACCAACAAAAAGTGTACATTCCAAAAATGAAAATATTCAAGCAATTTTGATCTGATACTTTGAAATAGACCTACATAAAAAATTTAAACTAGCTCTTTTTCATGAAAATGTAATCAAAATCCAGCATCTGAAGCAAATTTGAGAGTTATCATCTCTTGATGCAACATTTGTGCAAGTTTGGTTTATACAATGTTATATAAGCCTTATAGTTTTTTGGTAATAGACCTGCACCCGTAACTTTTACCTGATCTATTATCTGAAAAATGTATGTCGAATTCAGCATCCGAAGCAAGTACATTAGTGTGCATCCTAAGATGTATCGTCCATGCAAGTGTGCTCATTATAGGGCTCATAGTTAATTGGAAATGAAACATGCATCAAAAACTAATATTTTCACTCATCCAGAAAAAGTACCTGGTAGGTCAGATTCAGCATCCGAAGCAAGCCTGGTAGTATGCATCCTTATATGTGTGTTAAAGAACTCATAGTTACTTGGAAATGAATCATGCACCAAAAACTTTTACCTAATCACTCAACCAGAAAATGTAGGTCAGATTCAGCATCCGAAGCAAGCCTGGTAGTATGCATCCTTATATGTATCATCCATGCATGTTTGGTCAACATAGGGCTTACAGTTACTTGGAAATGAAACCTGCACCAAAAACTTTTACCTGTTCATTCAACCAGAAAATATAGGTCAGATTCAGCATCCAAAGCAAGCCCGGTAGTATGCATCCTTAGATGTATCATCCATGCAAGTTTGGTCAACATAGGGCTTATAGTTACTCGGAAATGAGACCTACACCAAAAACTGCACCAAAAACTTTAACCTGATCACTCAACTGGAAAATGTAGGTCAGATTCAGCATCCGAAGCAAGCCCGGTAGTATGCATCCTTATATGTATCATCCATGCAAGTTTGGTCATTAAAGAACTCATAGTTACTTGGAAATGAATCATGCACCAAAAACTTTTACCTGTTCACTCAACCAGAAAATGTAGGTCAGATTCAGCATCCGAAGCAAGCCTGGTAGTATGCATCCTTAGATGTATCATCCATGCAAGTTTGGTCAACATAGGGCTTACAGTTACTTGGAAATGAAACCTGCACCAAAAACTTTTACCTGTTCATTCAACCAGAAAATATAGGTCAGATTCAGCATCCAAAGCAAGCCCGGTAATATGCATCCTAAGATGTATCATCCATGCAAGTTTGGTCAACACAGGGCTTATAGTTACTCGGAAATGAGACCTACACCAAAAACTTTAACCTGTTCACTCAACCTCAAAATGTAGGTCAGAATCAGCATCCGAAGCAAGCCCGGTAGTATACATCCTAAGATGTATCATCCATGCAAGTTTGGTCAACATAGGGCTTATAGTAACTTGGAAATGAAACCTACACCAAAAACTGCACCAAAAATGTTAACCTGCTCCAAAAACATTAACCTGGTCATTCCTTTGCTGAAATTGCAGCATCTGAAACTTTGACTGGTACAATGAAACACACTAGAACCATCTTCCATGCATGTCTAATCAATATAGGACATAGAAGTACTTAAAAAGAAAACTGCTCCAAAAAACTTAATATAACCTGGGACGCCGACGCCAAGGGTATTACATAAGCTCCCCCAACTTCGTTGAAGCGAGCTAAAAACATGTGGGCCATGGGTTTTGATTACCCGTGCGTAACTAATTTTACCACAAGTATTTGTTAACAAGCATATTAGCTTTTATCTACATTTTGGTTTTAAAAAATCATTCAAATAAATATCGAACATACTGAACATGTGGAAGATATTATTTCAACGAACAACATAAAAACATTTACTTTCGTCCAATGGTTTTTCACCACGTTGTATTGAAGATCTTGGGTGCACATACACTCATCGTAATAGCATATAGGAAAGTCATTTGACGTTTAGAGTTTAGGACTTTTAATAACTGCACTTGTTTTAATTAATTATTAATAAAATCTATCAATTTTATCTAAACCTACCCTGTTGTCGTGAAATAAAAACAGCACTTAAGAATGTCTTTTACATGTAACTACGGTATGGATTAAACGAATATAGACAAGGGAGGTAACTTTAATTATATACCAATTCTGCGAATTCAAGAAACCGTGATCATGTCAGATGAGAGAAAACCGTGAAAATTACAAACCGTGAAATTAATCCCCTGTACAGTACCATATTAATAAATAGTACCTTAGCTGTTTTAAGAAAATTTAAAGATTAAAATTTATACTGGTGATAGGAGAAAAGGGATTTATTGAAAACTTGATACAATTAGAGGTCCTAAAAAAAATAGCTGAGAGGAAGTAACAACCTTTCTCATTACAGAATAAATGAGAAATTTCTTCCTTTTTCCCTACAATCGTAAGCAGACATTCATACTTTTCTCCCTACAATCGTGAGCATTCTTTTTCCCTGCTAAAGTGAGCAGAAACTGCCTTCAGAAGTTCCTACCTTTCTCTCTACAATTGTGAGCAGACACCACTGTCAGAAGTCCCTACCTTTCTCCCTACAATCGTGAGAAGACACTCTGCTGCCAGGAGTTGCAGACTACTGTTGCCTAGCAACAGACACAACATCTGTAACAGGACACTGTTGTTGGTGAATATGAGGCTCATACTGATCCAGTCTAGATAGCCGGCTAGAGTGTACAGCACCGCCTCACTGACCCTGAGGTGGGCCTTACTCTCCTGAGGGTCAGACTGAAATATAAAACAGTATGTCTGAAATACACCTCTTCTGTAAAGGATCACATTTTAAAACTATCAATTCTCATTAATGTTCATGTTCATTTTTATGCCAATTTTTTTTTTAATGTATTCATCCATCATATATTTTGTAATTTATCTACTATACTCTCTAAAAATAATTTACCTATTCCTATTTCTGTCACATGCTTATATATTCTGGTACAATCAATATTGACAATATCACTGTCCATTTTTAATTTCACTGTCTCAGTACCATAGTGGAGACAATCAGTCACTACTGTATGGGTCTTATTCACAAGACCAGTGACTTTCAGTCTGTAATGCTTTCAAAAAAATGGAAAATTACCAACCAAGTTGAAATTTTCAGATCAGACTTAAGTAGAATTACACTCATGACCTTCTTTACAGGAGGTAAAGGAAAAGGTAGATGAAAAAAAAGTGATACAAAATCTTTAAGTCAACATTTTTATACCAAACAAATCCATCTTTGCTTAGTTTCTTGATATAAAAATATATGTACTAACACTTTTAGCAGCGAGGTCAGTATGAATTCTCAGGAACTGGACAAACATCTCAAACAAGTCCTTCATGTTGGCTGTGAGCCCCAGCATGATTTCCCTCCTCCTCTGTTGAGGGATGGTCTGTAACAGGACGGCATCCTCCACCAGTCGGAGGTACACCTTCAAAACCAGCTCGGTCTGGGTCTCCTAGAATAGGGGTGTACAATAAGGAACACACTGGTATAGATATCACTTGACAAAAATGCAAAAAGTGACTTTATTATTTCTAACTCAATAATAAAGGCATTCTTCTTACTTAGTCCTCTATGTAAAGATGTTTTTTTTATGGTTTTTTAAACATATTTTGCCCAGTAGTTCTTGAGAAATTTTTTTTTTAGAAAGATGCCACCAAATTTTCAATATTTCTAAATTATCTCCCCTGGAAAGAGGGCATGACCCTTCATTTAAACAAACTTGAATCCCCTTTACCCAAGAATGTTTTGTGGCAAGTTTTATTGAAATTTGCCCAGTGGTTCTGAATAAAAAGTCAAAAATGTGAAAATTTTACAGACAGATGAACAGACAGACTGACAACAGCCACAATGTGATCAGTTAAGCTCACTCAAGCTTTGAACTCAGGTGAGTTAAAAATCTTTTAAAAATAACAGCATTAAATGCTATAATTAAATTCCTCTAGTGTGCCCTACCCCCATTTGACACAGTTTGTAGAGATCCTCCTGTAGAGTAGGCCACAGCTGGGGCCACTCCCTCTTGGCAAGTTCTACAGTGATTCGGGCCACAGCATCTTTAATGTGGAATTCCTCCTCAAGGATCCCCAGAGTGCCCTGAAATGAAAAATATAAATACCCCTCTATTCCAAAATACTTAAAGCAAACATTTTAGGAACATTTCTTTTAGTGCATGTTACAAGTACCAACATATTCAATTTTTTAATAATATATATACTGGCAAAGACAACACAGTATTGGGCAATAGCAAAGCTTATGTCGTCAGTTTTTGTCTGTATTCTCATGGTGGAAATGCATGTATAAATTTAAGTATTTTACAGAAGGAATTTCTACACTATTGACCAAATGTCCAGAATATCTAAAAGTCCTTGAAATCTCTTCACTTTGGTCCCAATGTATCAAAATGTTTCCACTATAGTGTCATTGCATAGGAATCAGAAGGTGGCAATGCTTTTAATTGTGAATTCTGCCTTATAATTGTAAAGAATTAAACCATACAAAACACCTTTTTTTCATATTACATTTGTAATTAAATGGAAAGTGCAATTTCTAAAGTAAATCTGTAATTTCCAAAGGCTAATTTGTCATTTTCCAAAGATTAATCTGTAATCCATATTTTGATAAAAAATCAAAATTTCCAAAGAAGTAAAGAGTCGCTACTGCAATTCAGCTCATACCAAAATGTATACACGTACATTTCAAGTTTTTTCACCTTTTATGAAATACTCTTTACTAACTTACATTTGCCATAAACTGTAATGCATTTGTCTTCAGATATTCTTTTTCTTCAGTTTTCATATCAATCCACCTAAATCTAAAACACAATGTATTAATAGTAAAAACACAGGTAGCAGGGTAATCATAGGTTACAAAGCTTGCCTTGATGAATGTTTAACATCTATAGGAATGATATGTGTAACAGTGAGAGCAGTGACTCTTATTAACTAAATGTTCTAGTAATATGCTACTACTGGTAGATAATGCATGTACTTCCATACAAGTTTCGACTATGTATAATCTATATTTTTGGGAGGGGGAATATTTCCAAAACTTGACCAATTGTTTTAATTCTCTTACAAATTTATACAAGTCAGGCCTCAGGGCCATAGACAAGCTTCACTTTTGGTCTCAGTCTTACTTTTCCAATATTTACTCCTTTGGTAAAAGTGAGTCTGAGATTAAAAGTGAGCTCATTCGAGTTTTATGGCCCCTGGCCTGATCATACTGGTAAGACAGATGCTGCAATGGAGGTATTTTTCATGATGAAAACATACATAAAAAGTACTCTAGAAATCACTCCAGAATTTCTAGTAACCTCTTTATTCTTCATTTGAAAATGAATAAAATTAATATTTGAAATCAATCGATTATAATTCTAATATTCTGCATCTGCATGGTTATTCCGATAATTGATTCTGAAAAAAATTCTGATTTCCCATCATTAAGTTTAGCCTATCAGCTAGGCAAGCTGCCAAGATATTGAATACAGTTCAGCAGTATTATCTTACTTGATGGCATGTTCAAGCAGTTGTAAACCAAAATGGCGGATTACAGGTTTGTAAGACTTCTCAGCTAACACAAGACCCACTGGAACACAGAATGGAGATGATTCCTTAAATTCTTCACAAATCTGTCATGAAAAAAATATTGCTATCATCAGAGACAAACACTTTACACATACATATATATAACTGTAAATTAACATTTTGAGCATTAACAATTCCTCTTTTTTTCCAAACTTAATTATAATCGTCATGATTTTCTTTATTAAATTAAGCTGTTTTGTAATTAACCTTATAAGTTCGTACCCCAACCCTAACACCCTAACGCTAACTATTTTTCTGAAGAACAATTATTTTAAATTTTTGTTAAAAAGATATAAACAGATAAAAGGTGAAAGTACGGAAATAATTATTTTTTTAATAAGTATCATAACAGTTCCAGTATATATATAGATATATAATGATACACTAGAAACCAAACGTAGATGAAATGTGGGGAAATAGACTTTGGATTGGGTCTACATATTATATATAATGAAAGAATAACTTCAAAAAGATTGCAGTGGAGTAAACAACATCATGATGGTCCAACCTTGTGGGCGTTTTGTCTGTCATTTTGCGAACTTGATGGATTCAAAATAGTTTCTATTGCATTAGAAAGTTCGGCAGCTAGAGCCGAGACTTGTGGGTCCATTTTTACGCTGATATCATCCACAGGTCATATCTTTTGTGATGCATCTGTCATTTTCCACATGGTAAAAAAAATTTATATGGAGTTACTTCCCGCTTTTAATCACTGACTTTTGATCCCGATGTACAAATTTTGTTTTCAATTTTTAGATTACTACTTTTTATTTTTAAAATGACATAATAAAATATCACAATTATTTTATTACTTTGAAAGTAATACTTATAAAAAGTAAATAGTATATTCTAATATAATCGATAAACTAATCAATTAATTTCTGTCTTTGATCGGGATCGATATTCAGACTCCTCCTAAAGTTCTTGATCGAAAGTCGGCAAGGCAACTTCAACCAAAGAGCTAAGGTATCTTTTCAAGTACTTCTACTTCTACTTCTCAAGGATAAAGCTTTTTGAAAATTTCAGGGGAAGAGAAATTATTTAGAGAAAATGTTAATAACCCGGGCTCAACAAAACCAATCCGAGAGGTGGTAAGGCCAAACAAAAAAATATCTTTGTTTACTGTTACATGCTGAAATAAAATAGGGTTGGTAGGTAGGATTTTTTTTTTATTTTATTGAATTTTTTATACACAAATTCACATGAATTGGTTGAATTACAAAACAGCTTTACCATTGTACGATGCCTTACTATTGTTTGGGCTTATAATATATACAGGTGTCTCATTATATTGCGATACTTAAATCTTTTGCATAAAAAAGTGTAATTTGATTTTTTAAATTTAACTTTCATCAAATGATATTAATAAAGCAAACTATGGCCTAACTTTTTAGTATCAAATTATTTTCCAAGCTTGCATCGTCTAAGTTGTAGTCTATTTTTAAAACAGGAAGTCTCATTTACCTCCTAAATTGGAGAGTCTCATAGTATCGCGGTATGGGAAAACATGGAAACTTGAGGTTGACATGGACTTCAATTCTTACTTTTTATTTTACCATGTAATTTTACATAAAAAAATAAACAATTATACAAACTAAAGACTTTCAAAACATGAACTTTATATGGATTTTACTATATTATAAACTCAGTGGGCTAAAAATAATAAAAACGGAAATCGATTTCTGTAAAAGTACGTTTTATTTGAATAATTTTTTTTTCCGACGCATTTTCCATACTTTTTAATCATCACAAAAATTTACATTCAGATGACAGACTGATATTTTTTTCAACAAAAAGCATATGAGCTATGCATCTGATTTTTTGGAATATTCCGCGATACAATGAAACCCGCGATATAATGAGAATCGAGTATAAGTAATATAAGTGGTAGACAATATAATCTTTCTTGCTAACTGCCTTACAGCTCAGGGGTGTGCAATTAAAAGAAATCAAGTACTAGCCCATAGGCTTAATTGTAACAGCAATAAAAAATAAATTTACTAGCCCAAAGTTAAAAGTGACCAGCAAAAAACTGTAAAAACTAATATTGTAAAAAGTTCATTGTTGAGAAAGTCAGGGTCCTAAGCCATTCCTTTTAAAGCTGAAGTTTAAAAATTTTAAGAAATTATCTTTTCTTTTTTGAACCTCTGTCTAAACATATTAAATGCTCTAGTCTAACTTATCTAAAATGAAGCAAAAATTATTTTATTTTCATTTCAAACCACTAAATACAATTAATATTCAAGTTTAACCACGTAACACTTAGCTATCAGTTGATTGGGGGATCGTAAATAATTGAAAGAGATATCTGCATGAATTTGCCATTAACAGAGGAATTGAGGAAATTCGGATTAGGAAAAAATGATCATTTTTTTTTAAGTAAATAAGTCAGGCTGTACTGCAAAATGGATAAGATTAAAGTGATTTAAGAACAGTAGGAGCATGCTGCCTGGAAAATTTTCATTAGTTGGAAATTAAATAGCAAAACAATGAGTGAAAATACCGTTTCTGTTTCTCATGTATTACATGCATAATTTTTATTTTTACTGCCCCAAAAAACGGTAGCACCAGGCGTCAGGCGATGCTAATTGTACACCCCTGCAACTGCCAGGCAATAGTAAGCAAATTACAACGAACTTGTTGATGTAGAAATTGAACTCACTGATTTTGTTTCTGTACTTTCAATTTCGATTTCAAAGATGAATGTAAAAGTTAAACTGACCAGCCAGTAACTTCCGGATTTTTACGACGAAAAAAAGTTTGGGTCGGCGATTAAAATTAGGGTCGGTCGGGTAACCATAAACAAACATATTTTTTTGTTACGCCTAGTGTATTCACAACAGAGACAAAATTAATGTCTCTGGTTCACAATTTTTTAAGCAACATCCCAGATTTTTTTTATACATATCATTTTGGGGGGAAAGGTCAAATTCAGTCTGTATCTCTATTGTTACGTCACAGGATCCAGTAGGCCTTTAACGTGACGGAGGGAGGGCGCATTTAGTCGCTCTGATGTTCTATCGTTGACTTTAAGCTAGCTAGATTAGGAGCACAGACGACTTCATCTTCAGGATAGTTCCACTATAAATCAGTACGCATAAAGAACGAGTTCTTTAATTGGTCTGTCTTTGCGTCTGGTATTTCTACTGCTCTGCTGTTGTTTCTTATCCTTACCCTCGTCAGTATTTTAATTTTGTTTCTACCAGTAAATATGTTTGTCTTGAGGGTGAAACATCTAGATGAAGAAGGTTGGGCACAGTTCTTTTTTCTGGGAAGTATTACTATAAAACGGGATTATTCCTCTTTTCAGTAATAAAAACATCACTGAATACGGAAATTTTCGTTATGATTTTTGAATAATGCCTCAAATTTATTTATTAAATAAAAAGTGCGTAAAAAATACTATGTGATGTGTTTAATCATTAATGAACAAACCTTGCTGACCGAAAAATTCGGTCCTTTAGTGCTGCAGAAAAAGAGTGTGATGAGATTTAATCATACAGCATTGAGAGTATTCTTCAAACGGATGTGAATATTTCCCTAAAAAGTATTTTCTTATTTATACAAAAACAGAACAATTCATATCTTGGTTTCGTGGAGGTGACTTCTTTTGAACATGCATAGGAATTTAAACTCACGTGCAGCAGTAATCCAAGACTTTTACTTTATTTTTGAAGCCCTTATGAGATTCCATACTTTTCGTAACATTTATCAACAGGGAAAATTTTTCCCTGTTGATAAATGTTATGAAAAGTATGGAATCTCATAATGGCATTCTTTCTAAAACCATTTTAAAAGACTATCATTTGAAATATAATATTGCAAATAATCACATGTATTTTCATCTGTAAGTGGTATTTTAAATTATTTTTACAATGTTTTTTAAAGAAATTATATAGAATTAGAACGAATAATATCATGAATGAGTTAGCAAGTCCTGAACATATTCAATCTCACAATTTTAACACAGGTAAGCTTCCGTTAGAAAATCTAGATCATAGAAATATTTCATCACTCTTTTTCAGCTTTTTGCTGTAATAAATAGGTTTTGAGCAAATACCCTTAATAGACAATAAATATTTAGAGGATGTAAAAATATTCTTGCACATTATCTTTTATTCAAAGCAAACACGAGAATAGAAGCTAAACGAATGAAAATTCTCAAGTACAGTAATGTTTTTATTTCTTAAAAGAGTAATAATTCCCTATTATAGTAATACTTCCCCGAAAAAGGAAATGTGCCAAACCTATTAAAAAAAGGCTCTTTGGAATTCCTTACATTTAATTGTTACTGCTAATTAATCATATTTAATGTCATATGATATTTTTAATTACAATCTATTTTCTGTTTTAATGGCCTCAAAGTCATGTAAATGAAATCTTAAACCTGGAAAGAAATGAAAAGAACAAGGTGCTTAGAAAGGTGTAATACTGTAAACATTTAACATTTTGCGATGTATTCTATTTGACGATTTTGGTGGAAAGCAGAGTCTGCTGAATTAGTACATTGCTAAATGTCTTTTATATCATATAATTATATCAAGTACATTAGATAGCATGTAACAATCAAATCTATGCTAACTTGTTGAAAAATTAATTTCCACCAAATATTGTACAAATATTGGTCAAACATCATACAAGCAAAAATATAATACATTTACAGTAATTATGACTTGGGGTCCGAGTATGTCTGTGATATTAAGCTTAAGGTCACATATTCCTTTGTCAACCAATTCATATTTGATTTCATTATAAACACTGGCTATTTTAATCTGAATGGCAGACCAGCTAGGAGATTATTAAAGGCATTAATGCCCTTGATCTTAGTAATCATAATTTTTTCAAGTTATAATTGAACTTCAGCATTATTTTGTTATTAGTTGAATAAAACCGAACTTTTCTTTTCAGATGTATAGACCATATTACAATCGACCCCATCACAGGACCTATTCGATGGGACCCTATGAAGAAAGGCAAGTACATGATTCACAGAGGAGGTTGAACTCACTTTTCCAGTCACGGATAAGTCCCAGGATGGAGAGGATTATGAATCATCATTATCGGTTCACCAGACCTTGGAGCCCTTATGACCGATGGGAAAACCAAGCCTTGCCAAGTCTCTTACCATCTTCTGGGAATTTAACTCATTCAGTTTACCCTGACCCTTCACCAGATTACCATAGTATTGAAACTGCTCTGGCAGAAGAGCAGGAGGAACAAGGCGAAGTGGAGGACTATCCAGATGCATACCTGAATGATTCTGCTGTATCAGGAAGTTATTACTATACAAAGGACCACCCATCAGATCCCAGAAATGATAGTGGTTTTGGATCTACTTCTGATACTCCTACATCTCTCCCCAGAGGCCGGAATTATACTCCTTTAGCCAGTGCAGGGAATGGTAACCCACCAATAAAAAACTGCACAGCTGCGTCCAATTCCAAAGATTTCATTCCCCTTTCCAGCTCGGCAGCTGCTGAGGATGAAGGTGAAGATGGTGACAGTGATGACGAGGATACAGGTATAGGTCAGTTGTTTACAGAGGACTCTGCATCAAGTGCTGGACCCAGCGAAAATCATCCTACAGACACATCAAACAAGCCTTCAGTCATGTATGCCAACGATCCAAATGCTTATGATGTGAAAATTCAGAAGCGATTTTTTAAGTGTGATTTATGTGACTTCAAGGTACCTAACTCCGGATTAATGCAGAAACACTTTCGAAATTCTCTACACACTAGTGCTGCAGAGATAATGGGATCTCAGGTAGAAGAAACTTTTCATTGCAAGTCCATCATAGATCCAGCGGCAGTGCATATGCATGCAAAAGATAGAACCGGTGTGTCTGATTTAGCTATCATGTGTCCTATATGCTTTAAGTACTTTTCCACAATGTACCTGTGTGCCAAACATGCAGTACAGGAGCATGGTGAAAATGTTTATGGTGTAGGAAAAGTTACTGGGCAACATTCAACCTACATACCAATGAATTTACAATGCCTTTGCAATGAGCAGTTTATTAATGACTCAACACTTATAAAACACATGAATACATGTAAGCATTTCCAAACTGCACCACAAGCCAACATTTCTTTTCTCCATGTGTGTCCATTTTGCTTTCAGATATTTATTGATTTCAATTCATTACGATCTCACATTCGGAGTGAAGGAAAGAAACACAAAGTACCCCAGATTATCGAGATCAGCACTATCCATGTGGAGCATCCTACCATCAAAAAACCAATGCTGCCCTACGCTTGTGGTCCCTTGTTACAAGACACCTCAGAAACACGAGTGATTTATCCCCACGACAAGAAGAAAGCTATGAAGGCCTGGAGAAAAAACAAAAATGTCACACTGGGTGCCTACCATAAGATGAACTCATGTAAAAAAGCAAAACTGCAGTGAATCATGAATCCCTGCTGTAAAAAAAATGGTTGAGTGGCAGAAGTAAGGATGATAGTTTTGTCTTGTTTCTTTGAGTTCTCCCGAACTGAAATGGTATTTGCAAGAAGTGGCATACTTCCTTTGTGAAACAGAAGTCACTGTGTTCTAGATTCCTATGGAGCTGTCAATTTTTACAGAGAATTTTATTCATACAAATGAAATTTTATGAATAGTTGTTTAGCTTCATCTGTATTCATTATGAAAGATTCCAATAGATTACAGCCAATGTACATTACACATTCAGATTTAAATTCCAGTATCCTAGTGTGAAACATCACTGTCACTTATATAATTATATATAGTTACTTTAACACTACAGCTTGGAATATTTTTTTAATAAAATTTTGTTAAATTAATTTTAGAATCATTTACCAACAGTAAGTCTAGGTGCTTAAAGCTGATTCTCATGTTTGAACAATTCTGACATGCTTCAATTACATGTACGAGAATGAGTTGTCTGTACATTGAATATACAAATGAAAGGTTATTCCATTGTGTATGTATCATATCTATTCATTATCAATTTTCTTCTTAGATATTGTCTTGTTTTTATCATCTATGAACAAAACTTTTTCACATCTTTATATAGAATTACTGTACTTTTTCTCCTTTTCAGTGTTTTAACCAATATCACCACTCATGACCACTGTGTTAATTTTAAACCATTATATTTTTCGTGAATATCCCTCAGTAATATGTCAGTATAGCAAAACAAATAAAAAATACTGGGTATATTGAAAATATTGCCGTACAAACATGACATGATTGCTATATGTATAATGCTTGAAATCAATCTACTTTCAAATTTTTGATGCATTCTCGATGTAAATTAAGTAAAATTTTGTAAATAGAGAGGTTTAGCAAACCAACGTGTACGCGTACGTGTACGTGTAGCACCAGAAATATGTGCATTACGTCATCACTTTTGCTAATGACGAATTTCTACACGTATCCTCTTACGCAGGTTATGTGTAGATTGCAAAGTACACGTAAGTCAAAACTTGTAGCTTATAATTCGTTAACTGCTGTTTATTTTTCAAAAAGTGTGCGTTTTTCGAAAACCTGAATATTTAATGCAAATACTGTTAAAAGAACTGAACGTCAGTAATTGAAAAACAATAGTTTATAGGGAGTCAAAATTACAACATCTAGATTTTCAAAACAGCCTTTGACCGATTAAAGATATTAGAAATCTGTACAATCTTTTTTCTCATAAGTACAAGCATATATTTATGTAAAATGGTAATATACGTATTAAAATCATTGCTTTTGCGGATGATTTTTAAATGTAAACCACTTTTACATTTAAAAACTTACAAGTACAAGTACAGGTTATACTTTGCTAAACAAGAAAAAAATGTTAACGTGTAAGTGTAATTCAAACTTGTAGTTTACACGTACAAGTGAATTTGCTAAACCTCTCTATTAGTAAGAGCATAAAACAATTTATTTTAATATTAATCAAACTTATATTTCTTTATTTCCCTTCAATTTGCAAATAAATTGATAAGAATTAGTGATGAATAATGAGTATTGTACAAATATTGCATAGATAGCACAAGCTTCATGAGAGATGTTATTTTACAAAAATAAATTGGATGTATGCATAATCTTACAACTACATGTATCTTATTTTGCATGTTTTGTTCTATATTATATTACCATAAAACACAGATCATTTGAGTTTTTCTATAAGATAATAATAGCTCAGTTTTTGTAAGGCCAAGATTAATAAATAGTGTGTTTCCTATTCCATCCTGAGAAAAAATAGGATAGTTAGGTGGGAAATCATTTTATTTTATTATAACATTTTATTGGCAAGCACGCTGCCATTTTCTACCAGGGAAATCACTTTCAAAATATTTCTGATTATTGTGAGTATGATATGCATTTTCTCAAACTGGGAAGTGATCCAGATTATAATTTCTAATTGTAAAACTGGAATTCTCCTGAAAAGATAATGTCAGAAATTTTTTTTTAGGGTTGGCACCTATATTCTAGGGTCGGTCAAAGAACTGAAACACACACTTTATTCATCTAGGCCTAAGCTACTGTTTCATTAAAGGCTTCTATATTGTGGATGTACAGAGTGGAAAATCTTAAAAAAATTATAAGTATCAGTATAAATTATGATTCTGCATTAGTATGTTTTAATAATTACAAAATTAAAATCAGAGTTCTTCAATTGTTCTGAATGTTCCTTCAGTTGTCCACATGGAGTTACCTCCCTCAAAACTGCAGATGAAGGTGTTGTCATATCTTGAATTTTCTAAATCATGCTCATTTGACATTGTAAAGTGCCATCTGGAGGTAAAAATGCTAATGAGTGTCACAATGGCAATGATCAGAAGGCACACTCCAGCAATGGTGCAGAACACAAGAATGTTCTCTTCTGTGTATTTTGTTCCCATTTTCCATCTGAAATTGAACTGAATGATTAGATATTGTCAATTTATAAAATTTTCTTGACCTTTAGTTTTTATCAGTTTGAAATAAAAGGTAAACTTTAGGAGAGAAGGGGCAGAGATATACCCCATTAAACTACTAGTACATGTCAACAGACTTGTTAATGTCTTCCAAAATTTTCTTCTTGATGATTGAAAAAGGTGAAGTTAACTTACAGTGACCAACATTAAAGTCTATATTTAGAATCATGTCCATAGGACATGAATGTCATGCTGAATGTATGTTACTAATGCAACATGGGAATTTGTGTTAGTCTATGAAGTTTGATGAGAATATCTTGAAGAGTTTCTTTAAAATAGAAAATGAAATCTAAAAATTGGATATATGACAAATTCTCGCCAAATGATGCTTACATAAAAATAAAGTTGATGCAATTGATAGCTTTCAGCAGTATGGATCAGCATATGAAGTTTCATATATCAATATCTTGAATGGTTTCTTCAAAAGGGATCAAGATAGTTCTTTAAGAAAAGTAAAGTTAAGGTCAAAGAAAAGGCCAACAAAAATTGATGCAATTGATAGCTCATATATCAATAGTGGTGTATCAAAAGCATATGAAGTTTGATAAAGTTAAGGTCAAAGAAAAGGCCAAGGCCAACAAAAATTGATGCGATTGATAGCTCTCGGCAGTATGTATCAGCATATGAAGTTTGATAAAAATATCTTGAATTGTTGATTGAGAACTTTAGTTTAAGACAAGTGAGGTCAAGGTCAAAGGAAATTTCAAGGTCATTTTTTTGCAGTCGAAAAGCTTACATCAGTATGTATCAGCATATGAAGTTTGATTACAGTATCTTGAATGGTATCTTAAAAACTGAGCTTAACTAGTTTAAGGAAAGTGGGATCAAAGTCAAAGGAAACATCGAGGTCAATATGTTGATGCAGTTGCATAAATTTCATCAATATCTAACTTCATCATTATACGAAGTTTGATAAAAATATCTTGAATAGTTTCTTTGAATCCACAGGAGTTCATGTACCTATCAATTTTACCGAAATTTTCGGTAAAATTTATAGGTACGCGAACTCCTGTATTAAAACTGAGCTTTGAAGTGAGCTAAAGGCAAAGCGCAACGGAAGGACGGGTGGAAGACGGACATGATAAACACTATATGCCCCGGTCATATATTTATGGCTTGGCATAAAAAATACAAATCTTTCTCAAGAAGGCATAAAACATAAGCCCCTGAAAATGCCCATGTATTGAGGAGGTAGACAAAAGATTCCATAGTCAAGTTCAGTGTGAAAACCAAGATCATTCTCAAGAAGACATAAAACATAAGCCCATGAAAATGCCCAAGTATTGAGGAGGTAGACAAAAGATTTCATTGTCAAGTTCCGTGAAAACCAAGGCCTAACATTTGGTATGTAACAAGTCTGCAAAAATACGACCTTCTGATAGGATATCATTGCTAGCAATTAAGGTAATTGTAACGGCCATAGAATTAAAGTAGTGCTGACTGTAAAACATGCTATTGAAATCCCTGTAACATTAACATATTTGTCACTAGCCTGTCTCAGTTTAAAAATTGATCGTAATTCAGAGCATGCTATGGAGTATTCACAAAGTCCGTAGATGTAAACACCATATGAAGGTGAAGCATAAATTTGGAAAGAAGTCATCCCGTGTGTCTATGCCACTACCATTCTTTAATAATAGCTACATATAGTACAGTCATTTGATTACAACAAAATCTAGCAAACACAAAATATTTTTCATAAATAATATATTTTAAATGAATCTTTTTTATTTTTCGTTTGTTTAAATATTAAGATCAAAATTTTTAATAGGTAGTAAATATACAGACTTACAGAAAAGAGTTTTGCAAGTTTATAGAAGTTTATTTATCTAACATAAGAAAATGTGCCATAAGTTTGATGTTTCATGATAAAGTGACTGGACAACTAATGTTCATGTCATTAACCGTTCTTCCTCTCCTATCTAGAGTGAGGAGCAAATGGAACCACTGCTACCCATCTTTAAACATGCCATCCCCAGTCCCTTTAATTCTATGAAAATGTGTCAAAAATCATGCAATGAATCTCTGGTAAATTATATATCTATTATTTAAAATTGATCTGGAAGAGGAGAACGGCGATTTACCGAGACGTACATGTTTTACAAAACCGCATGTTCATCATCTTCCCAAGTCAAGAGTTTCTGATCCGCTCCGGGGGTAAGAGACTTGACTTGGGACGGATAATGAAAATCTACATTCATAATTCCCGGAGTTTTATTACAATTACAAATATTAACGATCACTATTTAGTGATATGGATACATGCAGATTTGTAGAAAGTATTTATACAAGGGATTATTTTGTGAATATTGATCTTACCTGTGTTTACATCTTCTTGTTTCTTTGCTTTTTTCTTGTTTCTCCAATCAATATACCTTGGTATTTCAAGATACTCACACTAAATCACGGAGCAGATTGCACTCTACCTTTTTGATTGATGCTTCAGTGCATTCGATCAATAACATGTGTCTAAATTGAATAAATAACATGTTTATGAATGATTAACAACTTCGTTAATTAATGACATTTTATCACCTTGGCACACTCTTGGTCACTGCTCGTATTTAGTTTAAAACATATTTCATTTGAAATTGACCCCCCCCCCCTTTCCGTATGGCAGCTTTTGGTGATGATTGAAGTTTCTAAAAGGCAAGTCAAATTTAAAGGTCAAGGGATGAGAAATGTCACACAAATAAAGGACTTGTTCTCAGTGACTATAACTGTGAAATATGAAAGCCCAAGTTACTAACCATTTAACAGATTTGACCAAGGTTTAAGGTTTTTTCTCACACATGGGTCAAACTCTAAGGTAAATATCAAAAGGTCAAATTAAAGGTACAAAGAGGAAGGCCTTGTCATAAGAAATACACATGTGAAATACTAGTATTAAAGACCTAGCAAAAACTGTTCAAAAACTACTGTATTGCCGACGTTAATTTTTTTTTTTTCAAAAATAGGCCAACTTCAAGGGTCATGGTCAAAATGTAAACATGTCGATATCCAAAGGAGGACTTTGTCAATTAGAATATATCTGTGAAATATGAAGTCCCTTGTAATCATTTTTTTCAAAAGTTACGTCCAAAGTTTAAGTTTTTTACTTTTTTAAAAGTGGTTAAAACTTCAAAGTCAAGGCCAAAAGGTAAAAAAGATGTATATCCATGAAAAGGGATTCTTAAAAAATACACGTGAAGTCTGAAAGCCCTGGCACCAATTTTGATTTAAGGTAATGACTATGGTTAAAGTTGGATAAATTCTTGCAAAGTTGCCAAGGCCAAGAGGTCAAATATGTTGGTACCCAAAGAACCTTGTCACAAGACATAACATGTAAAGTATGAAAGTCATAGCTTCAACCAATCAAAAGTTAAGGTTAATGGCACCAATTTTGATTTAAGGTAATGACTATGGTTAAATTTGGATAAATTCTTGCAAAGTTGCCAAGGCCAAGAGGTCAAATATGTTGGTACTCAAAGAGCCTTGTCACAAGACATAACATGTAAAGTATGAAAGTCATAGCTTCAACCAATCAAAAGTTAAGGTTAATGTTTTTGAGGACAAACAGATAATTGGCGTCGGAAGCAAATTAAACATGCCAAAAAAGAAAATGTGCCCCTTGTCCAAACACGAAAATCCCATTTCGGGGGGGGGGGGGGGTTAAGATCGAAGTTCGGTCAGTACTGTATTCTATTCAGCCACGTAGCATCGATTTTGAAAGTGGGAGGGGCAGCCAGAGAATTTTTTTTTCACTTACCTGAACTAGTTGACAAGCAAAAAAAGGAAAATTTGTCCAAAGTCGAAAATCCTATTTCGTGGTAGTGGTGGTGATGGGTTGGGGAGGGGGGTAGAGGCCAACTTTTTTCAATGCCAATTCTTTCAGTACCAATTTTCATACTACATTTTCCTTATATTACAAAAAAAGTGTGGGGTTACAACCAGCCTTTCAATGAACATTTCCTATATTATAAGTAAGGCTGGGAAAAAACTGGGGGGTCAGCCCCCCCCCCTTGTTTGCTACGTGCCTGCTATTTCCAAACACTACCACTTACCCTCTTTTGACCTAAACTGCAACGTGTCTGTTAGAAGGGGGACTAAACCTACGCCCGGAATCTATATTACATGTATGTCTATCTTTGCAAAAAAGGGGGAGGCTAAGACCCCCTGTCTCCAACCCCGGTTCCGACACCTATGCAGGTAAGTAGGCAAACAGCTAGATGGACGAACAAGGCAAAAACTATACATGTATACCCTAAATCTTCGATTAAGTTGCCATAATAAAAGGTTTTACATTTGTATATACAGCAATGAAAGATAATCGAAGAACCAGGTGTGTATAGCTTTTACCCTAACCGTCTGT